AGAGACAGAGAGCATGAGAGGGAGGAGGGTCAGAGGGAGAAGCAGACTCCCTGCCGAGCAGGGAGCCCGATGCGGGACTCGATCCCGGGACTCCAGGACCATGACCCGAGCCGAAGGCAGTCGCCCAACCAACTGAGCCACCCAGGCGCCCTAATTACTATTTTTTTAACGTTGATCTTCAAATGTTAAGCCAGCCTTGCATTCCTGAGCTAAACCCCACCGGGTCATGTTGTGTTACGCTTTGTATATATCGCCGGGGTCAATTTGTTTACGTGTTGGTAAGGATTTGGGGATGTATGTTCATGGAGTTGTCTCTGCAGGAAGGTTTTTAATTATGAGTCATTTCTTCACGATAATAGGCTTTCCATTTTTTCTTGAATCCCTTTTGGTATATGCTGTGCCCGGGAGCCCCCCTCCCTTCTCTGTGACTCCAAACGCACCTGCGGGCAGAAAGCTGGGACAGTACTTGGACTTGATTGGTCTGTTTCCCTTCTGGGCTGGGGGCCTGTAGTCCCGTGCTCCCTGTTGCCAGAGTCTGAAAACAGCTGTTCCATGTATTTTGTCCAGCTTTCTAGTTGCTTCTGGCAGAAGGGTGACTGTGGGCCGTGTTCTACCAGCAGGACCAGAAGGGGAAGCATTGAGAAGTACAACAGTTCTCGTTACTGCAGGTGCTTTCGTAGCCGACTCTATGAAGCCGGGACTCGAAGCCATAGGAAGTGAAATTCTGTATGGCTTAGACTTCCTTTTAACCTCTGATTGTATTCCAAGTTGTACTTTAGCTGTCTTTCACAGAAAATTAGTACCACTGTGTTTTAGAAATTGAACTCTAAACCTTACTTCTCTCTCCATTTAAGTTTCCTTCAGCATTCGAGTTTAATGAGCTATTCTTGATCACGATCTTGGATCACCTATATAGCTGTCTCTTTGGGACTTTTTTGTGCAACTGTGAACAGCAGCGATTTGAAGAGGTAAGTGTATTCCATCCTGTCTGTTGCTTTCCCATGCCTCGGGTGCCTTTCCCATTAAGTGCCACTGTAGACGCGGGGGGTACTGGGTGGAGTGGGGACCTGGGTCTAGCCCTGCTGCCATCTGTAAATGGAGGGATTGCATGAGATGCCCTTCCAGGGCTCACCAGCCCCAGTGCGTGTGTGTGATCTTCCACGTGGTCTGACACAAGCCCCTTACTTTATGGGGGCTGGGACCCAGCAAGCCCACAGCTCTCTGAGGTCTCTGAGGTCTTATATGAGGGTCAGTTCTAGACCCTGGACCCCTAAACCCCAAGCTCGTGTACTTTCTACCACACTGACTCGAAAATGATGTGATTCTGCTCTTCACCCTCCATTCCATTAGGCTGACAGGTACTTGGAGGCCTAGGAAGGTGAAGTCTGTAGATGAACCCAGAACTTCCTGCTACGTAGCAAGCCAGACTTTTCCATCAGGCTGATAATGAAGCAGCTGCTGAGCTTCTCAGAATTCTATGTTGCCTCTTTCCTCCTAGATTGATTGATTGATTGATTGATTTGAGAGAGAGAGTGTTCGAGAGCACGAACTGGAGGGGCAGTGGGAGAGGGAGAGAGAACCCCAAGCAACTCTGCGCTGAGAGTGGAGCCCAATGGCAGGCTTGATCCCACAACCCAAAACCTGACCCAAAACTAATTATCAGATGCTCAGCTGACTACGTCACCCAGGTGCCCCCCTTCCTCGTCCATTTGAGATGAAAGAAATGAGCACAAGTGAGGAGGCACTGGGGAAAGGCAGCTTAAGAGTGTCCTCTGGTTAACAGAAAAGGGCCACCACCTGCAGACTAAGCACATTAGAACATTATCGAATCTTGGAGAAAATAGTGGGTGGCCAGCACCCACCTCCCTCTGCAGCCTCCCCACAGCTGCCACCCCCTCATTCCATGTCCACACCGCACTCAGTCTCCTCCCTTTAGCTCTTCTCTCACCTGGGAGCCTGCCTGGACCCAGTCCCGGGTCCTCCTCTTGCCCCAAACTCTGTTCTCTCTAGGTCACTGTCTGTCTCATCTTGGGGTCTAAGTACCATTCTCCTGCTCCTTCCCTGCTCCTCTGCGTCTCCCTCAAGGGCACCCTTGCCCCTCAAGATGCTAAGGCCAAATGCGTAGGAGCCACCTTTGCCTCCTCCCTCCCCCTCCCCCCAGCTGCCACGGCTGCTCCCCAGAAGAGAGAGATTCTTAAAAAAAAAAAAAAAAAAAATTGTATTAGAGAGGAAGGGAGGGAGAGGGGAGGACAGCAGCAGAGGCAGAGGGACAGGCAGACTCTGCACTGCGCCTCAACCCCGTAACCCCGAAATCATGACCTGAGCTGAAATCAAGAGTCACACGTTCAACCGACTGAGCCACCCAGGTGCCCTGAAGAGATTCTTTCTTAATCTGGCCACTTGTCACTGCCCCACAGCCTAGCTCAAGCCCCCATTGTCTCGTGGTGGACTAAGGCGGCCGCCTGGAAATGAGCTTCGCTCCCTCCATTTCTGACCTCCAGCAAGCAGGGCAGCGCTCCCCAGCTCCGGTCCCATCATGAGCCTCTCCCCTGCTTGAAACCTCCCTGTGGCTTCCGTTCTGAGCAGGATAAGGTCCATAGTCCTACGGGCCCAGGTGATAGGCCCTGTTAACCTCTTTAAAAAAAGAAGTTTTAGAGTACATTTTATGGTATGTGACTCATATCTCAATAAAGCTATTTTTAAAAAATCAACAGAAGAATGAAGTTCACATGTAGAATTTAAACCCTGATGGTCTTTCTTTTTTTTTGACAAAACATTCTTTTAAAAAATCAGCTCTCTTGAGATACAATTTACATACAATATAATTCACCCTTTTAAAGTATACAGTTTAGTGGCTTTTAGTATATTCAGAGTATGCAACCATCACCATCTAATTTCATAAACCCTTTAAACTTTTCATCACCCCAGAAAGAGAGCCCATCCCCATGAGCAGTCACTCCCTGTTCCTCGCTCCCCCAGCCCCCGGGAACCATGGATCTGCTCTCAGTCTGTATGGATTCACCGATTCTGGACATTCCATACGAATGGAATCAAACAGTATTTGTCCTCCCATGACTGGCTTATTTCACTAAGCGTAATGTTGTCAAGGTCCATCCGTGTTTCAGCAGGTGTCAGAACTCTGTTCCTTTCTTCTGCCTGAGTAGTATTCCATGGTATGGAGAGACCACATTTTGTGTATCTGGTCAGCGGTAGATGGACTTCTGGGTTGTTTCCACTTTGGGCTCTGACAAATAATGCTGCTCTGCTATGAATATTCAGATGTGCAAGATTTCGTGTGGACGTGTGCTGTCATTTCTCTTGGTATATACCTAGGAGTACAGTTGCTGAGTCATATAGTAACTGCTTGTTTAACCTTTTGAGGAACCACAGACTGTTCTTCCAAAGGTCCAATATTTTACCAACACTGTCTCATGTCTAAGGGGTCTGTTTTCTTCACTTCTTTGCAGACATTTGTTGTGAATTTTTTTTATTCTAGCCATCCCAGCGGTATCTGACTGTGGGTTTTGGTGTACATTTCCCTGGTAACTACTGATAGTGTGAGCATGTTTTCATGTGCTCCTTGGCCATCTGTATATCTTCTGCGGACAAATGTTTATTCAGATCCTTTGCCCATTTGTAGTTGGGTTGTCTTTATCATTGAGTTGTAGGAGTTCCTTATAAATTCGTGATATATACAAGTCCCATATCAGATATATGATTTTCAGAAACTGTCACCCATTCTGTGCATGGTCTCTTCACTTTTTTGATGGTCTCATTTGAAACAAGTCTTTAATTTTCATGAAGTCCAATTTGTCTATTTTCTTTCATTGCTTTGTGCTTTTGGGGTCCTATCCAGGAAGCTGTTGCCCAACCCAAGGTCACGAAGAGTTGAGTCTGTGTTTTCTTCTAAGAGCTCTGTAGTTTTAGCCCTTCCATTTCGGTCTGTGACCCGTGTTTGAGTCCTTTTTGTGTGCGCTGTGCAGGAAGGGTCCAACCAGTCGTCCCAGTGCTGTTTGTTGGAAGGACTCTCTTGCCCCCACTGAATGGTCTCAGTGCCCGGGTTGGCAATCGGTTGACTGCAGAGGCGAGGGCTTGTTTCTGTGTTGTCTTCTCGTCCGCTGAGGCTCTTCAGGGCCCTTGAATTCTCGCTGGTGTTTCTCTTAGAAATGCAAATATAAAATAGGAAAAGGTCCTGGCGGGATTCTCTGTGTCTAGACAGCTTGTGAGGGAGTCAGCTGGCTTTATGGTTTTCTAATCTTGACTTCGTCACTGTGCTTGGTCCATGTCTAACACTGCCCTGCCCTGCCAAGCCTGTTGGTTTTGGTGTTTTCACTCACATGGGCAATGCAAATAGTTCCAGCGTTTCTAAACCGGGTATGCCAAGGTCGGGAGGTGGGGAGATAGAATTTAATGATGTGTATCTACTTCTCGGTGTGAGGCTTCACCAGCCTGTCACCCTGGTATGTTTCCCTCCCAGACAGCCATGAGTTTCCGGTGAAAGGAATCTTACCTGTGAATTCTACCCTCGTCACAAAAGCAAAACTGCAAACTGGAAATAAAACATGTATTTGTTATTGATGGGCCCCATCATCCTGTGGTTGTTAGAAAGTTCTCATCATCTTGCCTTCACACAGACGCAGTTGCCAGATGTCACCTAACTCAGCAATACATTTTTCCAGGACAGTAACCAGTGTCTGTTTTCATGTCATCCCCAGCATGAGGTGATGCCATAGCATAAGGGATGGGGGTGGGGCTCAGTAAATGTTCTGTAATCTTTCAGCATTTGAATTCCTTTTATCCAAGTCCTTTTCTCTCCATAATACAAATTCTCAAGGATCTGAAAAAAAGTTGAATTTATTTCAATGTATTCTTTTTTTGTTTTTCAGGATGTATATACGAAGACTATATCTTTATGGTCATATGTCAATAGCCAGCTTGAAGAATTTTCTAATCCTTTCTTTGTGAATTATGAAAACCACGTCTTATATCCCGTTGCTAGTCTGAGTCATTTGGAACTATGGGTAAACTATTATGTGCGGTGGAACCCACGAATGAGGCCTCAGGTATCTTTTTGTTCTTTGCAAAAGAGCCTATTTTTGTAAGTGAAGATGGTGGTGTAGAAATGCGTGCATGCTGGGTATTAACATACACTACTTCTGCCCTCAGCCCTCAGGGTTTAATCCTGTGCGTTCATGTTCTAGCACCTTCTTTCACACACCAATCCAGACGCTATTTGCTAGATTAGAGTTAAAAATCTTAGCACCTCTGTCTTCTGCCAAAGGCAGGTAGAAGAAGCAGTATTGGTTACTGCATTTCACTCTTAGTCTTTCCAAGGACTCGGTTAGTTTATAGACTCTGGTGGAAAGAGGGCACGAGCTGAGTGGCACACAGGCACCCCCTTGAAGAAGGGGTAAAGTCTCCCCGTCCCTGCCACACTTTTTCACTGTAACATTTTCTGAGAGTGAAAGACATACCAGAACAGCGCACAGCAGGGCCGGCCAGCTGAGCCGCGCTAGCCCTTGGTGTTCAGTGGCCGAGCTCGGGCTGCGGCTCGGGCCCCACCGGTTAGGGCTCCCTAGGTGCTCCTCCAAGCCCGTGCTCTACCCGGTCCTGCCCCACCCCCTCTCCACATGGCTGGCCTGGGCATGGTCGGTGCTCCGTGCGGAGTAGGCCGATGGGGGCGGCCCTCCCCTCCGGGGACAGAGGACTCGCAGCTGAGGTTCTTTTGCAGTTGAATGTCTTTCGGGTTTACTGGTGGTCTGCCAGGAGCGGGCTTCCGGGGCCTTGTCTAACATCCTCGCTGCTGTCGGGCGCAGGTGTGCACGCCTTTCCTGTCGGCTCTCCTCCTCAGTCCTGCATCCTCACTCAGTGTCCTCGCCACCTCCGCGGGCATGTCCTGTGTCTCAGTCCGCTAGGGCCGCCGTAACCAAGGAGCACAGCTGGGGGCGCTTACACAGTGGAAATGTACGGGCTCCCAGTTGTGAGCAGAGAAGGCTTGAGAGCAAGGTGTTCACTGGATTGGTTCCTTCTGAGGGCTGTGAGGGAAGAGTCTGTTCTAGGCCTCTCTCCCTGTGTCTTCATGTTGTCTTCCTTTTATGTGTGTGTCTGTGTCCAAATTTCCCCTTTTTATAAGGACACCAGTTGTAGTGGATGAGGGCCCACTGTGATGACCTCACTGTAACCTGATTACCTGGGTAAAGACCTGTCTCCAGATACAGTCACATTCTGTGGTACTGGGGGTTAGCACTTCGACACACGCATTTTGGGTGGACAGTTAACCCGTAAGAGCCCCCTTCTGCAGTAACCATGGAGAAGACCCAGCAGTTCATTTTACTTTGCAGCTGCCTGGCACTTGAACTTTGGAGGGCCCATGACTTCACTAACCTTCCCTCCCTGACGGAAGATTCACCCACTGTGGACTTAGGCCCAGGACCTGTCTGGCCGTGCAGACTGCGGCCCCTCTGCCGCTTCTCTCCTGACGCGCTCCTTTTCCAACAGCACAGATCCAGCTGCTCATCACTTGCCTCTTCTTCCCTCCTTCCTACTGCTTTCCAGTCCACAAAACTTCAGCTACAAAAGCTCTTTCTTCCTCTAGAGCCTCTGAGTCTGCTCTGCCACCCTCAGAGACCCCGCAGGACTGTTTTCCAGAACTCCACGATCAGGGCCTGCCCAGCCCAGTACTTGTCTTTCTCTGGGAGCAGGCACTAGCCCCAGGCTTTGTGCTCCCCTCTCTTCCTCCTGGTCTGATGGCCTCCATGTCCCCACGGGTGGCCCGGCAAACCCCCCGACTCTGGCAGCGCTTTCCCTGCCTCAGCTTCTCGCCATGCCAATAGGCGGTGCTCTGAGAACCTTCTTTAGGAAACCTTCCCCAATCTGAAACTTCCTCCATTTACTGTCATGAGGCCCTGCCTGCTGTCCTTGTGCACCAGGCCAATTTCTCACCCGGTGGAAGTGGCCGTTGGCTGCTTCCTGGGTTACGACCGCACCCCGCACAAGCACATCGGTGTGAGGGGCCTCGCTGCTGAGATGGCCAGAGCGCGTTTCTGACCACTAGATGGATTCTGGGTTTAGTGCTAACTTTTAAGAGTTGTAAAATGTTTTCTTTATTGAAGAACATCTGAGGCGGGAGAGATGTAGTCTCCGTTCTTTTCTCCATGAAAACAGTATACATGTAGTCAGGTTCTTTGGGCAATGGCTCATGTTTTACATGTAGGTTTTTGATTTTGTGGGCAGTGAGCCATTAGTAACTAGTTTCAAATGTCCTGCCGATGAGCATTCATCCCGTTAGCGCTGTGGCCTCTATACAGAGTGCCATGGGGTCAGTTGACAATTGCCCGGGGCCTCCAGAGAGCCCCTTCACAAGCATGGCCGCCAGATCCTCTCCCCTTCCCTCTTCCGAGTGACCCGTCCTCCTGTGACTCCTCATTCGCTAGTCACGCGGCTGAAGTTGTTCGTACAACAGCCCGCTGGGCCCAGGGCTGGCCGCCCGATGGCTCCAGCTCTCTCTGCCCCCACTGTCCCCTCATCGAAGCTCCGGGTTCCGTTCATCAGGCTGTGGCGACAACTTCTTTCTCTCGCAGACTTTGTGCTCTGCAGGGGTAGGCCCCTGGCATAACTGCTTGTTCTCTTAGATGGAATCATCCCCCAAATGAGAGCCACATATGTGAGAGAGAACCGTGGGCCCAGAAACCTCAGTGAGCCGGGGGTCGCCAGCCCCGTCAACAGCGCCCTTCGACGGGGGCCGGCTTCCAGAATGACACCCCTTCCTGACCGCAGCTGCTTTATTTTAGAATGCCAGCCCCGGGGACCCCTGAAGCCCTTCTTCCCAGGCCCTGGCGTCCCTCGGACTCAGGAACGCAGGCCAGCAGCTGCTTCCCGCGGCCCCCGCCCAGCTGCCGCGCCCCTGCTCTGCTCGGGCACCGCGCTTCCCTCGTCCCTGGGCCGCTCTGGTGCGTGTGTCGGAGCCACAGGAAGACGGGCTCCGGGGTAGAGTGTAGGAAGGTCACTTTATTTAAATCACCGAGTTAGCGAGCAGGATCCTGGGTGACACAGAGGACAGCTGGTGGGTGGGATTTCTGGCACGGGAGCCGGGAAGTCTGCACAGGCACTGCTGCCGGACCGAGGGCGTCCCCTGGGCCCGAGCTCCCTGTGCTCACGGACGGTGGCCCTCCGAAAGCCCGCCAGCCTGTCCGCCCCGCTGCGATTTTGGGGACGGGAGCAGGAACCGCAGGCCTCCGGGCGCGGCCACCTCTCGGTGGGCCACGGGAGACACCCGGCCGCCTTCCCACCGCCTGGCCTGCACTCACGGAAGAGAAGGGAAGGGTGCTCGCGGGCCGGGGTCCCACCCCCTCTCCGGAGAGGTGCCATGCCCCTTGGCCCTGCGGAGACCTTGTGGGAGCAGGAGAGCTGGGAGGTGGTCCACGGGCTACCCGCGTCTTGTCCTAACTGCGGCTGGCATGGTTTGGAGCTGCCTAGGTGCTGGCCCCGGGGCGCGTGGGGGAGCAGGCTGGGCCTTGGGGGATTGGAGGCCAGAAAGGTGGGTTTGCAGGGCCAGCTAGGTGCGCAGGACTAGGGGGAGGGAGGGCCGTGGCAAAGGGTCAGCCGGAAGGCCGGTGTGGCCGTGATGGGATGGCGAGGAAAGGCGGGTGACTAGCCTACTCGTCTGAGGAGGAGGGGGCTAGATTGGCTGCCTGGAGAGCGGCTCCCTGGGCATCCATTAAAGGATGGCTGGGCGGAAGGAGGGCCGAGCAGCATTCTTGTTTCCTTTGGGGCCCTCTTGCCTTGTGGCGGACACAGGACCCGCTGGGTGAGGCCCCTAGCTAGCCAGGGGCATTCCCTCGAACAAGCAGGCCTTGGCTTTACTGGAAGTGACCTATGAGGAAAGGCTGCACGGAGACGTCAGCTGATCATCTCAGGCCCTGGGCGCTCCCCGGCCGGGGCTGCGCCTGTCCAAGACCGTGTGCCTGGGCCCTTCTAACGGCAGCCTCACTGAAGAAGGTTCTCTTGTCTAATTCACTTGGAATCAAATGATCCTGCAAATAGGAAGATAATACCAATAGGCCCCAAGACTAAGAGGGGAGCTACTGCTTACCTCATGGTGGCCTCTGGGGTCAGCAGCAAATAAGGTAACTTCCCCTTGTTTTGGGCCATCGTTGGCATCAGACTCACATTGTTGTCCCTACCCGTCTTCCTGCGGCTTGCTGAAGTCAGGAGGTTGTTCTTTGCTCGTTACTTCGCTGGTTTACCTCTCTCGCTCCTTCCTGTCCGTGTGTCTCATCTGTCTGTCTCCTGCCCTCCCTCTTCCCTCTAGTAGGGCTGATCACCACGGGCAGCCCTGATGGGAGAGCTCAGTTTGCAGGGAGGAAGCGAAGGGCTGGGGGGAAAGTGCTGCAGGCAGAAGGGACAGCACATGCATGGCATCTGTCAAAACCTAGAAGATTCTGAAACGCAGGAGGGGAGTAGAGGCAGGACCTGGAGAGAGGGGAGGAGAGGCCGGCTGGGGTCAGACCACCTGGTTTCGAGGCCAAGGTCAGGGCGGCAGGAAGTAGCCACTGGAGGCTGTTAGGCGGGCATCACATAGCCTGGCTGAGGCTCGGGAGCCAGGCCTGTAGCTGCTCTGTGAGACTGGGCTGGGGACGAGGGGAGGCAGGAGGGCAGGGGCAAGGAGAGTGGCAAGGAGAGCCCCCAGGAGCGCCATGAGGGAAAAGCCGGCTCTTGGATCTCTGGGCTTGCTGAGGAAGGGGAGTAGGTGCTGTGAGCCTAGTAGTCGGGCCGGGTGTCCCGTATGTCCCAGGAAAACCCTTCTCAGTGCTTTCTGGCCCAGCCCCCATGGAAGGGCCTGAAAGAGAAAAGCTGATCAGGGGAGGCCTTGCTGTGGGGGCTGGAGGTGCTGAGTGGAGGCTCAGAGAACAAAACCCCTCTTCCCTGTGCAGGGAGGGAGCTGAGCCCCCAGGGGCTCCCCCTCCTCTCCCGGGGTGGCTGCCTCCTCCTCTTGTGACTGATGAAAACAAATACAACTTCAGGTTGTCAGGGTGCTGATTTAACAGCTGTATTTTCAGTCAGCAGAGCAATTTATAAAAATGCAAAACCGCAGAGGTCGGGGCCCCGGGGGGGGGGGCATGGAGTACATTTCCGCAGCGTCCTGCGGAGATGCCCCCCTGCCCTGAACTGGCCAAGCAGGGCGGCGGCTGCAGCCCTGGCTCGGGAGGGAGGCCCTGCACGCTTGGCAGGGCTGGGTCGATGACCAGGCAGGCGGCTCTGCAATGGCATCCCGGTGCCCCGAGCAGGGCCCGCTGACCGCAGCCGCCTCTGCTCTCCCCAGACGCCCATTCACCAGAATCTCAAGGAGCTGCTGGCCATCAAGGCGGAGTTGCAGAAGCGGGTGGAGGACCTGCAGCGGGAGGTGGCCACGCGTGCCTCGTCGTCATCCGAGCGGGGCTCCTCGCCGTCCCACTCAGTCACCCCCGTCCACACCTCCGTCTGAGGGGCTCCAGAGGACAGCATTCGTGGTGACTCCGGCCAGCCAGGACCTCCTGCTCGGCGGCTCGGGCAAGGGACGGTAGCTTGTGATCTTGTCTTTTAGGATTAGGCCCAACGCCCTCCAAGTCTGGATGGCACTTCCCACCAGTGACCATTTGTGTGGCTAGGTGACCACTCCCACTGTCCTCAAGTGCTTTTTGTTTCGTGAACCGTTCCCTCGTGTCCGCGCGATCCTGCGGCGGCCGCCTGGCTCTGGGGCCCGGGAGAGGCGCGGGAGCATGGAGCGCGGGGCTTCGGGTTAAGGGGGCCCCGCTCCCTTTCTTTCCGAGGTAAGCCCTTCATTTTCAGACACACGCCCTTCACTTACAGACCGCGCGCCAGCCGCGTGGCTGCTTGAGCTCTTCGCTACAAGGCGAAGACCGTTCTGAACTGAACTCTGGCGTCGGGGCAGCCGCGCCCTTGCCAAGCCTCCAGTCAGTCCTCTCGGCGTCTGGGGCCCTCCCGCACCAGTTACTGTTGTGTACATAGAAGGTATTTTTAAAAAAGAGAAACCTGCCTTTATTTTCCTATGTCCTTTTTTATGTTTAGACTAGTCACTCGAGGAGGTTTCTGCTTAACTGGCCTGGGTGAGAAATTCTTTTCAAACAAAGCGCATGCCAACTTCATGTGGTACATCTACAACGTGGTTTGAATGGGGCCGCTGAGAGGGCATGGTGTCCCGCCCTCCCCCGACACCGGTGCTGGCCTCCCGAGGTGGCCCGGCCCGGGGACGGCATGACCCTGCGCCGGCCTCCCCGGCCGCCCCCTCCCCGCTGCAGGCTGTTGGTAGGGAGCGAGCCCGCCCTGCCCTCCCAGCTGCGCCGCGGCAACGTTTCTCCCGGCCCGGAGACCCCTCCAGCTCCGTTCCCCGGCTGCGCGGTGGCACACCACCGCGCTCCCTGGCCTTCCGCTCCCTCCCCTGCCCACAGCATCCCACTTCTTTCCCACC